GTGCTAATGTGGCCTAGAGATCACCATGGAAACCAGCCCTGCATGGCCAGGAGTTTGGGATGGGGCCTGAAGTGGCCGGCCTGCTTCAAGGACATAAATCTAGAAGACAGGCGAGGGGGCGCAGCCTGCTATCTGGAGGTTTCTTTCTTCCTGGCAGGCACACCAACACCCCACCACCCTGCTCCCCTCACAAGGAAAATTAGTCATTTTCTCTCAACTCCTGTTCCTAGTTGTCCTCTCTATCCTCCCCCCTCACCCTGCAAATACACATGCGCGCGCACACACGCACGCACACACACAGTTTCACAGAGAATTTTTATCCTGCAAGGTGTCACCTTCACTGGCTTCCTAGAGTGAGAAAGAGAATTGCCCACCTTCCCCATTTCCTGCCCTTGGAGTAAGGGGCACCCTAGCTGGAAAGAATCAGAAGGAGCTGCCTCATAGTTTTCTAGAAGCCTGAAGGTTGGGTGCGGGGGAAGCTGGGAGTCATTTACCCACAGTGGAATATGAAAGCCCAGCACCCGCCAGTCCAGTGCCCAGCAAAAACTTATAATGCACTAGAAGCATTACTGGCATATAGTGAACCCTTGGGCGGTGCCTCTGGATGCCTGGCCTTTCCTCCCTTAGAATCCTTCCCTCTTCCCTCCCTGAGGGCTGGTCACTGGCTGGGAGGGGTTGGGTGGCTGCCAGACCAAACAGGCCCAGGGAGGCAACATTGCCTTGAATGGAGTTTGGCTCAGGGGTGGGGAAGGGACATTCCCCTCCCTCACTTCCATGGGGGATGGGGGAATGGAAAGGGCTCTTTGCTCTTGTGCTAAGACCCTCCCTTCCATCTGGAGAATTTTAGCTCACGCAGAGACCCTGCTTTGACCCAAAGGAACGATGTTTAGGCAAATTTATAAGTCTCAAGCCTTAGTAAATGTGCCTGCTTTTCTGTGTGGTATAGTGGAAAGTGCACTGAATTAGGTGTCAGCATCAGTCTGTGACCCTGGGGAGGTCCCTTCCCCTGGTCTCAATTTCCCCAAAATAGAGGAGAGGTTGTGTAAGGAGATGGCTAAACTTCCATGATTTCAGTCCTCCTGCTGGTTCAGGCAAGGACATGCCCGGGACAAAGGGGCAGGAGGCCTGAACCTTCACCTGCCCCACCAAGGAGAGAGGGGGCTGTGCCCTCTGGCCTGGTCTCCTAGCACAACCAGTCCTGCCCTGCCCACTTGTTACCCATGCCCCAGGGATTAGGTCCATTTGGGAAACTGAGACTTGAAAGACAACATGATTCTTGTGTGCTTCTGGGTGTAGAAGTTCTGCCTTCGAGCTGCGAGTTTTCCACCTGTGACCACGATCTCAGCCCCTGAGCTCACAGAGCTCAGAAATGGTCTGTGAAAAATAGAATAGGGGCCTTCTAAGTACCCTGGTCCTGGGTGTGTGGTGAGCTGCAGCTGGACCCAGACTAGCTGACCTGGGGCTCTGGCAAGAGGCCTGCGTCTCAGGCCTCCGGAAGGAATTGCGGTTTTGGACAAAGGAATAGAAACACTTAACTAAGTGGAGATGGAAAAATTTCTCTTGGTCAGTGACAAAACACACCCTTTGTTCTTATTTATTTTCACCTCAGAGCTTTCTAGAGTCCCTGAGGAAGTTAAGGGGAGGGTAAAGGGTCAGGGAAGGATCCCAAATAAATGGATCTTGTAGTTGCTGGTCAGTGCAGCCTCCAGGCCCTGGAAAGGGAGGCAGCAGGAGGGGTGGAGAGGAGGGGTTAAGGGGCAGCCATGACTGTGACCATGGTGGGTAGAGGCTGGGATTTGCTGCCAGCAGCAAGAGGTACAGAGTGGTTTTCAGGCTCAACCCAGGCTGAGGAGAAGAAGAAAACCCTAGACCAGAGGGTCCTTCAGGTTGGAGGCTTTTCCTGGGCCCAGGCTGAGGAGAAGGACCAGAGGGTCCTTCAGGTTGGAGGCTTTTCCTGGACAGAGGTCACATCTCCCTCCTCAGGCCAAGCCACTTGACTGGGGATAAGTGTAGTCCTATCTGTCTAAGAGCAGTGTGCATCTCCCTCCTCAGGCCAAGCCACTAGACTGGGGACTCATCGGGATAAGTGTAGTCCTATCTGTCTAAGAGCAGTGTCTCCCCAACCAAGTAGGGGGCTTCCCAAGGCAAGGGCTATGTCTTACCTACCAGATTAGGGGCTCCTTGGGGGGTAGGCCTATCTCCCCATCATATGTGTCCCCAGGAACCAGCCCCAGGCTTTGCAACAGGTATGACTGATGCAGCCTCTCTGGGTGGCAGGCAACAAGTGGTACAAGCAGCATCTCTCCTACCGCCTGGTGAACTGGCCCCAGCACCTGCCTGAGCCAGCAGTTCGGGGGGCCGTGCATGCCGCCTTCCAGCTGTGGAGCAACGTCTCAGCACTGGAGTTCTGGGAGGCCCCAGCCACAGGCCCTGCTGACATCCGCCTCACCTTCTTCCAAGGGGACCACAACGATGGGCTGAGCAATGCCTTCGACGGCCCAGGTGCTGACACAGAGCCTCTCCCACGTGGCAGGAGGGAAACCCAACTGGGAGAGGTAGTCTGTGGAAGGCAGTGGAGCATTCACTCTCTCTGTGACCTTGGTCAAGCTGCATCCCCCTTCATTCTCCTCATCCATAGAATGGGAACAATGTCCCTGCCCTATTGTGTACCACATGGCTGAAGGGACAGTGAGATGAGGTTCTGCATGCAAAGTGCTTTGCAAACTCTGAAGAGTATTGTCTATTCTGGGAGAAACTTCTGAGATCCTGTCATCCATTCCTTGCCTCTAGACAAGCCTGTGCCTCTCTTATTCTCCAGAAGTGGATGTTCTGCAGACCAAGGCTCTAAAAACATCCAGAGGCCACCACTATCCTACTCCTACCCTCCCCCAACACACAACCATAGTCATTGCCACAGGACAAAGGCATTCTACACCCTGCCTGCCACAGAAGCGCTTAACGTAACCACAGCCCAGATCAGAAGGTTTTCCTGTTTGCCCCCAACCTGAAGGCTTCTGGCTGTAATTGAAACTACTTTCCTTCCATTTTGCCCAACTTGGGACTTCAGAACCTGAATTCAGACTATCTATACATCCTTTTAATCCTCTCCATTATTGAGGAAAGAAACCTGATCAGACCCCTTCAAGTGGATACTTAAGCCCTTGTATGGCTTGGGAACATGGGTCCCCACTTTCTTGCCTTCTTCTGCTTTCCATCAGGCCCACTCAGAGCAAAGCCCACTTCCAGGACCTGCTGCCAGGACCAGGGTAGGAATGGGAGAAATCTAGGCTTTTCAAGAATCCACATGTAGGACACACATGTGTTTGCATGTAACTCATTTCACTCATGATATCTACATGAGTGAGATGTTTATATTCATACCACCGAGATGGAACTTGATAGTGAAGAGCGCTGGACTGGGAGTCAGCTCTCTGATTTGGGACAGTTGTTTTGTCTTTTTGAGTTTAGTCGAAAACCTGTCCATCTGTCTCCCAGGATTATTGTGAGAGCTGAACAGAAAGGGCTGACATTGCTCAAAGCACATTCAAAATAAGAGGTATGTATTCCTCCTGCACATGGCCAACTCTCCATGGCCCATGAGGCTCTCCTTTAATGGCAGCCTCCAGAACTTTGTTGGTCTCAGTTGGCCTGGGTTCCAAGAAGGCAACACTGGAGGGACCCTCAATAGGCTTCCAGGCTGACATTATCACAGTGCTCTTTGCTGACCCATGCCCCTGCAGAAAGTGAATTGTGAGGGGCAGGGCCCTGAAAATTGCATAACTGATAAGCTCCATCTGGGGCATGATACAAGCTTGAGAATCATTGATGCAGCCCAACTCGCTGTTCACTCCTATTACAAGCAGGGAGGTAGAGACCCACAGAGGGGCCCTGGCAGAGGCAAGGCAAGAATATATATACTTTTCATTAAATTCTTCGTACACATAAACACAGCCAAACCCAGATCAAGAAGCAACTTTATCAACAGCTGAGAAGGTCCCATCATGCCCCATTCTTGCATAACCATTATATCGACTCCTACATCTTTTTGAAAATCATTCCTATGTAGCATTTCTTATGTGGTAGGGACTAAGCATTACATGTAACATACACAGATACGTTCCTTTTTAATCCTCAGAACAACCCTGTGAGAAAGAACTTCGTTATCATCACTCCCATTTCCACGTCAGGAAGCTAAGACTCGGAGGGGTCAAGCTACTTGCTCAAGGTCACACAGCTAGTAAATGGTAAAAACAAGGTTGGAACCCAGGCAGTTTGGCCCTATGCTGTATGTACAATACTGTCTCGTAGGTGTCAATACCCCACATCCTGGTCATGTGTTCACTGCTTCTGGCAGACTTAATTACAAGGGAAATTATGCAGCAGAAAACAGCCACACATTCACCCGAATAGCATTTGCTCCGGGCGGTGGGGACTTGAGGGCGTCTCAGGAGGTGACTCATCCTGACCCTCTGCGCCGCCTGCAGGGGGCGCCCTGGCGCACGCCTTCCTGCCCCGCCGTGGCGAAGCGCATTTCGACCGAGACGAGCGCTGGTCCCTGAGCCGCCGCCGCGGGCGCAACCTGTTCGTGGTGCTGGCGCATGAGATCGGCCACACGCTCGGCCTGACCCACTCGCCCGCGCCGCGCGCGCTCATGGCGCCCTACTACAAGAGGCTGGGCCGCGACGCGCTGCTCAGCTGGGACGACGTGCTGGCGGTGCAGACCCTGTATGGTGAGCCACCCCGACTCTCCTCACCCGCTGTGCCCACCACCGGTCCCATCCCTGCAGTACTTGAGTACCCGCTCCTCAAATCGGATCCCCTGTTCTAAGCGCAGGAATCTGCCTCCCGCGTTACGTAGGTCCTTCCAAATTCTGAAGCCCAAGGCTGCCTCCAATCTGAAAAACGTCTGGTTCCTTTCCCCTCCATGCTTACCCTCTGTCAATTCCAGCCAATGCCTGTGCAGTCCTCCTTTGCGTTCCGATTCCGATTCCCAACTCCTGGCCTCGGCGGTTCCTCTCACATTCCTGCCCGGTCACCCGGACCGAATAATCGGTCCCACCTCTTCCCCAT